CACAGAGGAGGGAAACAGTCACACAGAGGAGGGAAACAGTCAGACAGAGGAGGGAAACAACTTTGGGAACCACTGCACTTTGGTTCCCAAAGTTGGGCTTGGGACCCAATTATGGGTCATGAAGCACCTTGGATAATCTCCAGAAATCAATTTAAAGGGTAATAAAATAATTGCTGATGTAAAAATTTCCCTATAATTATTACAAAAACACAACATAGCTATAAATAAGTTTTTATATTTGTGTGCAAGCTGTTTAGATTGTCAAAAGCCTGTGTTTTTAGGGTTATTAACAAAGTTTATGTACTCAGACCAGTAATATTTGGGGTCATAAGTTTTTGCCATGAATATTTTGTGGGTCAGAAGATAAAACGTTTGGGAACCACTGGTCTAGTAGCTTCAAGAAACCAAGAGTTGTGTTCAGTTATTTTTTTAACTTTCAGCTCAGATCCCAGTTTGTGACGTCTTATTGACATTAAACTCYCCAAAGGGTTTAGAACGGATTTTATCCCCTTTCTACAGCACAAGTTGGTCAATGCCACAAATTCCTCTGTAAATAAATCTAAAATCCTGGCATCAGACCAAGCACCATACTCTCACAACCTGTAGCTGCAACGAAGGCAATGGCAGGTATTCATGCAGACAAGCTGAGCTTAAACAAGGTGAGCGAGAACTAAAATAAAGTCATGTTTTTGTTTTAAAACAAAGTTTGATTTTGTTGTTTCTCTGCAGAGAAATGGAGCAGAGTTGCTCAAATGTGAAGTGGAGCGCCACCTAATGGACTATTTTAAAAATTAAAAGTGGAGGAACGGCTTTAAATATAAGGGAGTGCATTATTTTTTTAAATAGTAAAGATGGGATCAAAAAATGAATTTATAATGTTTTTTTGATGAATGAATGAATGAATGAATGAATGAATGAATGAATGAATGAATGAATGAATGAATGAATGAATGAATGGTTTTATTTGGTCACATTAAAGAACACTCTACACAAAAACAAACAAAACTTTAACCCTTGACAAAATAGGTAGAGGCTTTTAATGGCTTGTTGTGCCTCATCTTACAATTCATAATGGATTCCCCAAAACAAAATGCACAAAAAACACACACATACTTCAGCTACATCCTGGTTATATGCACCATTTTATACACACAAAATACAAATCATCAATACTTCTTTAAATCAACAATATCATTATTGTTGTCTGTACATGCAAAAAATATGCAATATATTATCACCACCGTCATTACAAATGACTATAAACCATAACTCATAATTAATTTACTTTTTAACTTCTTTTGAAACTTAAAAGAGTCATTACGCTTAATTTAATCACTTAAATTATTCCACAGTTTAACACCCAATACTGAAACACRTCTGTATTTGATATTTTTTCTTACTTTATGCACTTCAAAAATAAAGAACCCTCTTAAATTATAATTATTTTCCCGTAACTTAAAAAAAATCTTTGAATACCATCAGGAAGACTATTTATTCTTACTCAATATAGTATCTCCAGTGTTCTTAAATACACTATATCACAATTTTTTTTTAAAGCAGAAGACATTAAGAATAGTGGATTAGTGGAATAAAAAAACCCAGCATTATTTATTAATCTAATTACTCTTTTGTGAAGTTTAACTACTGGATCCAGTGTTTCCCCTACCATTATACAGGCGGGGCGCCCGCCAATGAGTCTACATCAGATCATCTGCTGCACACAGTTCTGATCATTTATTATCAATAATAATTTTATTGATAATTATCATGAGGAGTCCTTAACTAGGATGTAGTTAGGCAATTAAATATTCATGTACTGTATATGTAAATTTATTACCATAATTGCAGGTGAGTCACGTAAATTTATGTTTTTATAAAACAAGTACCCCCCCCCCCCCCCCCCCCCCCCCCC